TTTTTTTTTTTTTTTTTTTTTTTTTTTTTTTTTTTTTTTTTTACCACAACAACAAGAGAAGAAACTAAAATACCAATGTTCCCTATTTTTGTCAATCTCCTCACACTTGACAAGCACTAAATAGCTGCCTTTCTTTCAACTACCATATATGCTTATTAGAACTCAGTCTGTATCCCTCTGTAGAGCTCAAGGCCATTCTATTTTACTAAACAGTTCCATCTGGATAGTTCATGGACAAGCAGAAGTCAGTATAGCCAATGTACCTTGTTTCTCATTGACTTCCTCAAACCAAAAATCTAGAGGTCAGCCCATGCTCACTTTTCTCTTACTCTTCATAGAATAAACCCAATCCAGTCCCTGCTGCCTTCTACACTGTTTTCCATTCCTAAAAACCACTATGTTAGCCAACGGCCTTACCGTTTCTGCTCTGAGTCACTATAATAACTTCTTGGTTAATCATCTGACTTTTTATTAGCCAGGAAGTCCATCTTTTGTGTAGTACTAGGATGCTAAATGCACATCACTCATTTCTTTATAATACGCCTGTGGCTCCCACAGTGTGAGCAATAACATTCAAGTATTTAAGGCAGTTAAATGTGTTACATGATGTGGTGGAAACTGATAAGACAGTAGTGGTCAACAAATAAGCATTACTGACAGTTTTAAATTATCAATTTCTATGTACAGGTACTATCTAATACTAATCTTTAAATTGTCTCCTCCCCACCACCAATAGAAAAAAAGAAACATTTCCCAGAACAACATTTACATGTTATCAAGAACATGTATTAAGAAATTCCATGTGTAGTCAAAATTTAAGGACTTTAAATAACTAAACACAATCTATAAAGTAACTAGAATCTTTTGATCTGGGTTATGAGAACCAGGCACCTAATAAAAATGTAGCAATGTGAGTTTCTATTACCAAACACGTATCACACGCATTCATGAACCCATGCACACACTTTTGTAAGACATCCACAGGATGGGAAATAAAAGACATTCTAAGTTCTTAATACTTGTCTATTAAAGATGTTTTTCATTATGAACCCAGATATTTTCATGGCAGAACACTTACATTCCCAATCTCAAAGTTTTGCCTCATGAGGAGGTAAAGGGAGGCACTAGCATGTGAGCGTATGGTACTGATGCTGCTGCTGCAATGTCGGAGAAGCCGGAGGCACAGATCAGCACACTGCTCTGTCTCTTCCTCAAACAGGAGCTCAGGAAACTGGAAGACACACAGATGTATTAATATAGCCTGACTTGGAAATCTGGGAGGTTAGCCGAGAAATTAAAAAGAATGGCTAGGAGACAATTTTAGTTAAGGTCAACAGTGCAAACCACAGCTAGACAGGCTGGGTTAAAATACAAATGACAGGCTGATGTCACTTGTTAGGGTAGTGGTGTGACCCTGGGCAAGTGTCTTTTTCCACGAGGTAGACCTAATATTATCTAGATTGTTGTGAGGCATTAGTCAGATACTATGAAAACAGTATAAACATGTAAGCCTCAACATAATTAATTAATTCATTAATTTAAAAATCACATATTTGGGGGGAGCAAACAACAAATAAACCTCTGAGGCAGTGGAACACAGAGCCACCTTTACACAGCAAAGGGTGTGTAAAATATATTAAATTCTTAATAAATGACCTTAAAATATATATGGGTGGGAGACAGAGCTCAGTGAAAGAATGCTTTCATCACATGTGCAAGGACCCAGCCTCAATTTCCAGTACCACAAAACCCAGGCAGAACAAGATGAAAGAAAACAAAAGCCTACTGATTTCAAGCTTTTCTCAAAATAAGATTTTAAGAAAATGATTACCAATAATTCATATCAATACAAGTTCTGGGACAGAAGCAGAGACATAGGACCCAGGGTACTATGTTTAAAATTAATTTACAATGTATTGACCAGTGAGTGTGCAAATGACCTTAGGCAGTGTTACAGAAGAAAGTGAAGTCACATAAGTCCACAGGTACAAAATAACCCACCTTTGAGACCAGGGCTCTCTGCGTGGCAAAGCAGTGCTGCAGATACACTGCACTTTGGTTGCAGGCCATGCTCTGGAGTAGCACTTTCAGCACCCCACCCAGAATGCTCTCTTTGGATTCTGTTACAGAAACAGTCTGCAATTTAAAGACAAATACATAAAATAGACATGTACCTATAAAGTGGCCAATGTCTGAGCATCACTCTAAGTTCAAACTGACTTGCAGAGTCTGGACTGCACCCTCTTGCCTGTCCTTACCTGAACAACAATCTCTAATGTGTCCAAGATGATGAGGTTCGCTTCAGTAGCCAGGTTTCCATCAATCAGCGCTTCATGCTCTATCTCTGCTCTTGACCTAATACAAAATATTGTAATAAACTTTAACTATCTTTCAAAAAGCCAGAAGTAAAACTTGACTTAAAGATTCATTAAAACAAAAACCTTGAAAGCATTAACATTTGCTTGAACAAAAACATAAAAAAGGGCCGGGTGTTGGTGGCGCACGCCTTTAATCCCAGCACTCGGG